GCTAGACTGGGAAGAGGTAAAGCCCAGAGACTCCACCTTGGAACGGGGCAGGGGTGCCACGTGGGTTCTGGCCTTGAACGGGACATTCCTCATTCTGCCTCCCGCAGCGCCAGGTTTTCTCGTCCACTACTCTGCGGTGGCGGTGGCGGGTCGGCAGCTGGAGGGACAGCTAATTTGGGGGCCCTGGTATGAGTTTATGTATATATGCATGCATCTATGTATATATGGAGTAGTTTTCATAGATATTTTCAAATATCAGAGCTCCCGAGAGTTCATCATTGCAGCTAATTAGCAAAAGGAGTTGCACCTCAGCTCAAAAGATGCCAGAATCGGAAAGATATTGAGGAGCAAATGATTGGAGACGGTTTCCCCTTTGCCCCAGAGCAGGCGGGTTTGGGTTTGGCCCTGTAGATGAGGGCGAGATCGGAAGAGGGAGAGGCGGGGGACGCATGCTCTCTGCTGGCCCACGTGGTCCCGGAAGAGTGGCTGAACCAGTGAATCCAGTGAGGCAGCTGGCGGTCCCGCCGGTCCCGCCGGCCCTGCCCACTCCTGGCCCCTGGTGTTTGGCCCAGCAAGCTCAGGAGCTTGGCTTCTGCCCTCCCAGACGCTCTGTGTCTGGAGAAGTTGGGTTGGAGTCGCAAAGCTCCACATTTCCAGCTGTGTGAACTCGGCCAGATCTTTTAACCTCTTGAACCCTTGGGAGCCAAAATACCAGCCCCTCAGAGGAGTGCCAGCAAGCGTCTTCAGGGAGACTGTAAACCTCTGTGGATGCCTGTCAAGACCGAGTGTTGAGTGTCTTGCTGGATGTTTGTGTCGTTTAATCCTCATCTGAGGAGTCTTTCTCCCAGTTTTACAGATGGGGTAGTGGAAGTCTTGATGAAAGGAAGTGGATGCCCTTGTTCCTGGGGCAGCCAACTGGAAGCCTCCTGTTGTCCCTCAGGCCCCTTTTGAAGTTCCTAAAATGGAGTGCTGGGACCCCAGGAGGGAGGAGAGTCACACAGGATAATTCTGGCTGAGAGCAGAGGTCTCCTTCACCTGGGGTCTTGGTCTGAGGAACTGAAGTGGGAACCTGGTCAGGACAGATCACCTTCGGGGCCTCACTTTTTGGGTGGCAGCATATTTGCCCAGTCCCCATTGAAGGTTGCAGGAGTCTAGAAAGATACAGGATATGGGCTGGTTGGCAGAAGGGGGAGTCTCCCTTACTTCTATGAAGCCTCCTCAGGTATCCCTTTTCCAGAAAAGGCATTCATATTTTATCAACAGAGGGCCAATTATGGGGCATTGATCAGAAGTTTACTTTTGTTTCAGTGACTCCTGACAGCAGCCCCTTGGGAGGAGCTACTTAGGGTTAGAATCTAAGTCCAGGAGCGGTGAAGTGAAAAGTGACTTACCCCAGGTCACATAATGAGGGAGCAAAAAGAGAAGGGGATGGGATTTGATTCTAGGTCTGGTCTGGCCTTGCCTTCACACCAAAAACCTAGTCCTGGCATCCCCCAACTTCTGTATCTACCTTATGATGTCCCTTAGAGCAGGGTAGTTCTGAAGTTGGAGCCTGGCCCATTTAAGGGACATTTCCAGGATGAAGCCTGCCTAAGGATCAAGCCCCCACCTAGTGCAGGGAAGCTAGGTGGGCACAGGGTGCCCATGTGGACCTGGGCAATGGCAGAAATGGAGGGTGTAGCACTGTGGAGCAGATGGCCATGACAGGGTGGGTTCCCACTGTGGTCTGGGGTGTCCCTAAGGTCAAAGTCAGAGTCTTTGCTGCTCCCTTTCCCCTCTCATAGGGAAGCTGAGGGAAAGCTCCTCTTTAGGGTTCTGAAACCCAAAGGTCATTTCTGAGTGAGAAGGCTGAGACCCTTCCCATCTTCTCTGACCCTCCTGACAGCACCTTTAGGAGCCAGAAGCGGCACAGCAAGCCTTCCCCAGGCCACCGACCCCAAGTGGCATCCCCCAACTCCTGAAAGAGGAATCCTGATGGGCTCCAGATTAAAAAATCAATCCAGTTCAAAAGTGATCAGGGGAAACTAGATTCAGTTAGAGAGGGCAGAGCCAGGAGGGCCAGGAGTAGAGGGCGGGCCTCTCACTACCCCATCCTAGAGAAACTCTGCCATTGGTGGGAGAAAATCTGCACTGGGTCTGGAATGATTAAACTGTCCAGCTCTCAGAGAAGCAACTTAGTTCTTGGGAGCTTTGTCAGCAGATATACAACAGAGCAGTGCAGGCTAACAGAAGCTGTGCAGAAACGCCCTTTTCCCCAACCAACTGCACACCTGGCATCTTTTTTAATTTTCCGAAGTCGGGGAAATAAACTCCGGTGTCTACGACAGACACTATTTTCAGAGGGTTTGCTTTGGGTCTCCCCTTCCACTGGTGACCCCTAAAATCCGTAAGGGTCTGGCTTGGCGGTGTGGCGGCATCGTTATCTCCGTTATGAAGGGTAGCAAACAGAAGTCTTCAGAGAAAGGGCATTCGCCTTTTTCTTCTAGCTGCCAGTCTCTGAGAGGGCACTGGACCCCAAGACTGCAGGACTGGCCTCAGTGCAGAGGCTCTGGATTCTCTGGCTCTGAGGCGAGATGGGAGCTGTCCTCCCAGTGGTGCTGAAACTCGGGCTGCCTCCGTTGGGGTCACCGACAGAAGCTCACTTGTTCAGGCACATCCTGGGTCAGCCTTTCCGCCTCTGAGACGGCCTCCTCCCATCTCAGGTGAGAGATTCAGCCTGGAAGGGAAGTAGGCCACGCCATGATCATTCCGCAAAACCTTAATAGCCACTTAACAGGATTCACTACTTTTCATCTTGCTCTCTCAATCCATTCTCCACTCAGTACCCAGAATGGTCTTTTCAAGAGGCAAATCTGATCCTATGTAAAGTACTCATATGGTTTTCCATATCATTCAGATTAAAACTTAAAAGTTCTTGCTAGAGCTAAGAGATCCCTCCCCCTCAATGATCTAGCCCCTGTCTACTTCTTCCACCTTAATTGCCTATCAGGATGGCAGGGATGGGTTAGAACTGGCTTAATTCTGATGTTTTGAAGATAGAACTGCTTATATTTGCTGAGACATTAGAGGGGTGTGCAGGAGAGAAATAGTGGAGTCAAAGATGACCCTGGGGGTTTGAGGTTGAGCACCTGGAAGGATGGAGTTTCTATTTCCTGAACTGGGGAAGGCTGAAGGAGGAGTAGAGTTTTGGGGATGGGGATCTGAAGCTGTTTCTGGACATGTTAAGTTTGAGAGATCTACTAGATAGCCAAAGGGGATAGCCTAGTAGGCAACTGGACATATAAACTTGGCATTCAGAGGAGAGGTTCTGGCTGGAGATATTAATGTGGGAGAGGTAAGCTTATGGTCTTATCTAAAACTATGCAGCAAGATGAGATCACTAGAGAGTAAAAGTACAAAGAAGAAAAGTGTTCCAGGGGCAGAACACTGGAGTACTTTCATTTTAGAGAAAGAAATTAAAGAAAATCAGTAAAGGAGACTGGGAGGGAGGGTCTTTGAAGAAGGAGAGAACAAAAAAAGTGATGTCCTTGAGGCTGGGGGTTGGGGGCAGTGGAGGTATCTTAAGAACAAGGGAGAGATCAAAAGTATCCAATATGCTGACAGGCCAAGAAAGATGAGGATTGATAATTGACCTTTCGATATGGCCTCACAGAGGTCCTTTCTGTTATTTACATATAATATAGTGTATATAATTAATATATTATTAATATAATTAATATATTATTAATATATAATATATTATATAATTAATATATAACATTATATATTATAATATATCATATATCATATATTTAATATGATATATATTATATAAATATATAAATTTAATATATAATAGATATATTTAATATATTCAATATCTATTATATATGATATGTATAATATATTATAATGTATAATTATATATAATATATATTACATATACTATATAAAATATAATATATAAAATAGATCTATTATATATTTAAATATATATATATATATATATATATAGTAGAGATGGGGTCTTACCATGTTGCCCAGGCTGGTCTGGAACTCCTGGGCTCAAGCGATCCACTTGCCTTGGCCTCCCAAAATACTGGGATTATAGGCATGAGCCACAACATTTGGCCTCATTTATTGTCTCTTAACCTCCATGCCAACTTGCTTCTAAAGCCACACCAGGGTGACTACAAACAGGAAGGTTCTGGTGGAGATGGGGGGTCATTATTGAACAGAACTGATGAGGCTGTTCATGCCCCTGATCCACCCTCAGCCCACTTTAATGACCCTCCCTGTTCCAGATGAGGAACCAGGTTCGGAATTGTGAAGTGAGTAGCCCAAGGTCATACAGTTGGAAAGTAGTGGGCATGGAAGCAATTCCAGGTCTTTATTGTGCTGCAGAAGAAGCAGGAGACCCTGTGAGCTTCACCTCTAGCAGAGGGACTACCATAGTGACTCTGGAGCCAGACACTTTGGGTTTAAATTCCAGCTCTGCCTCTGACTGACTGAGTCTCTCTGTGCCTCAGTTTTCTCATCAGAAAAAAAAAAAAAAAAAAAAAGGATAATGATAGTGCATCCCTCCTAGGATTACTGTGAAAATTAAATGAGATAATACAGAAAAAGTGCTTAGCATAACACTAGTATTGTTATTACTTTATTATTATTACCAGTGTCTGAGTCCCTCCCTGGCCATGCCAAGGAGAACCAGCAGGTAGAGAGGAAAACCAGACTGAGAATTTTCTGTCCCATCACCCGTGCCAGAAGAGAGAGGGCAGAGGACAGAGGAGGGGCCGCGTGACTGCCTGGGCTAGTGAGCAATTTGCTGGAGGAGCTCATTTGGTGACTCTGACTGAGTTAATTAAAGATGGCCACCAGGGGTCATTGCCATGGTGACAATTAGGCTGGGAAGGAGCCTCATTAAGGTGCGGTTTTAACAAGGCCAGTCGTTTTTAACCTGACATCTACGTGAAAGAGGGATTTTTCAAGTTGCTTCCCTTTCTTCCTTTGCTGTATTTCAGATCCATTTCTAGAGACTTCCTGTTGAAGAACAAGACAGAGGAAAATTCCTGGGTTGAGTCCCTCTGAAAAATCAACAGGGCAACAGGTTTCTTCTTTGTGGTACTACTCTGGCATCCGAAAGGAGGCCTGGTTGGCAGAGGCTTGGAAAGGGAGAGGAGGGTTGAGGTGATGAGGTCAGAGGAGGAGGTGAGGAAGGGACTTTTGTTGAATTTTATTCAACATGGAACTGGAGGCCTTTTCTGGAATTAGAAAGACTGCTTCTGCCGCCCAGTCACTTCCCAAACTGAGGTGGCAGGGATGGTGTGGATGGCAGTGGGGTCGGGGGTAGTGTCAAGCCTGTTTCTCCCAAGTTGAAGGGAGGAGGAAGGCAGGAGCCTCAAGCCCTGTCTTAATTCAGAGCACTTTGAAAAGTATGTATTTTTTTCTTATTTCCATAACAATACACTTGTTGAGAAAAATTAAAAATTTCACAAAAGCATAAAAAGAGAATATCTCCTGCAGTGCACACCTAAGATGGAATTGAGTGCAGTGCACACATTGCCTATGTGACAAGAAGCTGAGCACGGGCAACCAGGAGCTGGGTTTGGGGCAGGGGGAAGAGGGTAAGGGATGGGACACATGTACTTTTTCATTTATATCCTTGTCTATTGTTTGAATCTTTATCAGGAAAGTGTAAAATAAAACCAAGTTAAAATAGCATATACTACAACATTTTTCTCTTTTTTTCCTTCCTTCCTTCCTTCCTTCCTTCCTTCCTTCCTTCCTTCCTTCCTTCCTTCCTTCCTTCCTTCCTTTCTCTCTCTCTCTCTCTCTCTTTCTTTCTTTCTTTTTTTTTTTGAGACAGAGTCTCGCTCTGTTGCCCAGACTGGAGTGCAGTGGTGCGATCTCGGCTCACTGCAACCTCCACCTCACAGGTTCAAGTGATCCTCCTATCTCAGCCTCCCAAGTAGCTGGGACTACAGGCACACACTACCGTGCTCAGGTAATTTTTGTATTTTTAGTGGAGATGGGGTTTTGTTATGTTGTCCAGGCTTGTCTCCAACTCCTGGCCTCAAGCAATCCATCTGCTTTGGCCTCCTAAAGTGCTGGGATTACAGGTGTGAGCCACTGCACCAGGCTCTGACTTTTTCTTTTTTTTTAAGCACATTGTAAAATATTCAAACTAAACAAAGGGTAGACAAGAAAGGTAAGTTTCTTAGGTGGATCCCCCAGTCCCTTGGGGTGGGTTCCCCACCTCACAGGCAGTTATTAATATCAGTTTATTTTGTATCTGTCCAGAGATATTCCACATGTGTTCAATCACACTGTGCAACAAAGTTAGCACACTATTTACCCTGTTATACATCTTGCCCCCGACTTTTGTTTTTAAGTTGGTCTCAAACTCCTGGGCTCAAGGGATCTTTTTGCCTTAGCCTCCCGAGTAGCTGGGACTATGGGTGCATGGCACTACATCTGGCTAATTTTTTTAAAAAAATTATTTTAAGGGGGTAGTGAGGTGAGGTTTTGCTGTGTTGCCCAGGCGGTCTTGAACTCCTGGCCTCAAGCAATCCTCCTACCTCAGCCTCCAGAGTAGCTGGGATTACAGATGCAAGTCACTATGGCTGGTTTGCATCTCGCTTTTTTAAACTTCACTTCTATTTTAAGGGTGGTCCCATATCAGCACGTACAGAGCTGTCTCATTCTTTCTTAACACATGGCAGGCTGCTGCTGCTGAGAGTCTTTGGGTATGAAGAAGAGGTGATCCGGGCTTTTAAGGGACTCACAAGGATGTATATCCTTTCATGCTCAGCATTTTGCACAGTGGTCAGCACCACACAGAAGCACTTGCTAAATGTTTATGGTTCAGTGAGTGAGTAGCAAATAAAGAGGGAGGAGTTGGAGAAGTAAATAGAGGCTAGACCGTGGTGGTTTTTTTCTTCTTTTTCTTTTCTTTTTTTTTGAGACAGAGTCTCGCTCTATCACCCAGGCTAGAGTGCAGTGGGACGATCTCGGCTCACTGCAACCTCTGCCTCCCAGGTTCAAGTGATTCTCCTGCCTCAGGCTCCCAAGTAGCTGGGATTACAGGCATGCACCACCATGCCCGGCTCCCGGCTCATTTTTTGCATTTTTAGTAGAGATGGGGCTTTAACATGTCAGCCAGGCTGGTCTCGAACCCCTGACCTCAAGTGATCTGGCTGCCTTGGACTCCCAAAGTGTTAGGATTACAGATGTGAGCCACCGTGCCTGGCCCCATGAATGGTTTTGATGGCCATGCTGAAGGTTTGCATTTTCTCTGGTCAGGGACGAGGTCCCCTGAAGGCCCTCATATGGGGGCCAGCACAGTCAGACCTGCTGTCATGGAAAGGTCCTCTGGGAGCTCAGGTAGAATCAGGGTGACCACATAGATGACCACAAATCAGGTGCAGGAGGCTGTATACTGTCCTCATATGCAGTGTCTTCTCCTTTACTGGCCCTCCTGGCAGGAGGAGTATGCACCTATCTCTGGTGAAGGCAGGCATGGCCATGTGACTTGTTTTGACCAATGAAACATGTGGGGAAGAGATATGTGACTTTTTCAGCAGAAGCCTTAAAGGACAGTAAGTTTGGGGTTTGCTGTGCTCTCCTTCTGTTCCCAGGAATGGTGGGCGTATGGGTCAATATGGAACTCCCTGCAGCCTGCATCCCTGAGTGACTTGGATGAGCAGAGGCTTCTTGCCCATCTTCAATGGGCATGTAAATAGGAGTGGGAATGAAACATAGTTTCTTTAAGTCATTGAGGTTTGGAGGGTTGCTGTCACCATAACATAGCCTACCCTGACTGATACACAGGGAGCTGGACTGGGTAGTTCCTGCATGTCTTCCAGATGTGCACAACAGGCCAGGATTCCGCCAGGCTGGCTTTTCTGTGGCTTGGGTCCACTCTTGGTTTACACAGTGGATACTCAGCCTTGAGCTCCTATGGAGACCTAGATTCATAGCCTTTCTGCCCCACTCACTTTGAGCCCCATGAACATTTCTCAGAGGTGGAGAGAAGCCTATAGCAGGAAGAAGACTGCAGCTGCTACTGTCTTCTCTGACGTCTGGCCTTTAAAGGTGGCCTTTAAGTGGTCAGAAACATGAATGGCCATGTTGGCATCACTGTAAGAGGAAGCTGTATCTATGCTCACCAGGATCCCTTTTTCTGAAAGGGAAACCGGGGCAGTAGTGCCATTTAACCCAAACCATTCATGCCATTGAACCTAACAGTTGGTTGCCACTGTTCTTCTTGTAAGAACATTTACCTCACAGGGCTGGAGATGCAGAGGCAGGGTATCCTCAAATGCCGTAGCATCAGGGCTCGGTGACATCACCAAAGATCCAGGTCCCCCACCTCTGTTCTCCACGTTGGCTTTATCCTCAGGAACATTTCCCTCATGAGCACAAGATGGCTGCCAATAGCCATCAGGCCCGTGTTGTTGCCTCCTTGTTCATGCCAAAGAGTGAAGATGCCAAAAATTGCTCCGCCCAATCCACAAACCCATAGTCATCACCAGGGGAGTGCCATCTGCCATCTGGCTCAGACCAGCCATTCTCGATCCCATCAGGCTCAGGGTTCCCTTCTCATAACAAATATTGCTATCCTGATGAAATCTGTAGAAGTGGGACCTACTTACACATGTAATTGCAAAAATAGCAATGCAATGACCTAACTCTAAAAGAAAAACAAAAGGAAATATATAATTAATAAAGTATATTTCAAGAAACATGCTCAGGCAAAAGTATTCTAGAAAGCATAATGAAACAATCAGATGCTTTCACCTGCACCTAAAAGCTCCATGAATGCAGCAGCAATGGATACAGGCAAATACAGATGGGTTTTTTGGTGACCAAAGCGCCACTGGTAACACTGCTACTAGTGACATGATTGTGTTGAGGTGGTAACTCTTGGGAAGATACCAATGAAACAAAGCATAGGCCTCCTCAATGTGCACAGTGGCGGTTTGCTGCAGTATGTTTTCAATATATATGAAAGTCTTGCAAAAAAACCTTTCTGTTAATATGTCATGTGAGATTAGATTCTAGGCTCAGATTTTCCACCTATATTACTGTCCAGTGGAACATTTGAAAGTCATGTGGGGTTCAGGCCAAAGTTTTGCTATGTGCAACTGTCAGGAATTCTAACCTCGATCCCTGCTCACCAAATATCCATAGTGCCCCCACCATTACAAATTATGTCCCACAAAAATGTAACACCCTGTGGGACGCCGCTGCTCCTCTTGAAAATCTGTGGTCTGGTCCAATCATGAATCCTTTGCTGGGCCTGCGATGGGGTGGCTGCCTGGGATTCTATTAGGAAGGAGAAGGAAGGAGTGGAGGTAGGGAGGTTACAAGTGTCCCGCCAGGCCTCAAGCTCACCTGTTACTCATAGGATTCATGGTTCACTCCTAGAGTCCCTTTGTGGGCCTGAAACATCTTAGAAGACTCACAGAGGGGCTCTCAGGAGGACATTTGCTTAGGGGTGTATGTGTGTGTGTATATATATGTGAGTGTATGTGTGTGTGTGTTTTCCATTGAGCTGACTGGTATAGGGAATATTCATGCCTCTCAGTCATAAAGAAATAATAGACAGATGGTTCAGTTCTGGTTCTGTGCCTACCAGGAGAGAATAAGCTTCCTCCTCTCAACTTTTCCCAGGACACTTACCCTCAGACATGTCCAGCTCTTCCTGCAAAGCTCCTTCCCTGCTATTATCTCATTGGACCCTTGCCTCCTGTTGGGTTACTCATATTTTTTTATTATTAACTTATAAGAACTCTTTACGTATTATATATATCACTCCTCTTTTACTTACGTTGTAGACATCTTCTTCCATCAGTCACTTTTCATTTACCTTCATATGAGGTATTTTTTGCTTCATGTAAGTTTTAAATTTTTATGTAATCAGGCCTGGGAATCCAGATGCCTTTGCATGCACCAGGATTGTGGGGCGGGGTGAGCTGGTGATGGAGGCCTGCTGTGGCGAGGTGGAATTGTGACACAGGAAGGCCAACTCACAGGCTTGTGCCTTGAGACTTGGCAAATGTCCAGCAGCCTGGACAGGCCCTCCCCTCCACTCCTCTCCCCAGGAGGCACAGCCATTTGCAAGGCCTGGGGTGTGGAGTTTCTCCTAAATCCCACCACATAATCCTCTGGAGTCATGAATAGCTGGCAGTGCTATCTGAGGAAGGCCAAGAGGTCCCTGAAGGTCCTCTCTTGGCTTCAGGAGTAGGGTGTGCAGGGCATCAATGTGATCCAGTGGAGGCCACCAAGATCTGGGAGCCAGAGTGGGCAGGATGAGTCTCAGTGCACCAACTAACTGGTTGTGTGGCCTTGGGGCAGTCCCTGCCTTGCTCTGGGCTCAGCTTCCTTTTCTGTCCAGGGAGTGGGCTTGACCATTGTGGCGTAGTTTACATTCACTGATGCTGTCCCACCACTGTTGCTCCACACACACACCCTTGAAAGAGCCCCACTGCTGGAGGCTGCCCTCAACCTGGTGTGCTCTGACTCCTCACTTAGGGCAGGAGGGGGCTGTGGCATGAGGATGTCTAGGAGTATCCAAACCTCAGAAACTTGCTCCTGGTATGGGATGTGATTTCTGAGCCTCCCTGGTGCCTGGCTTCAGCCCTGGAAGTATAGAATGGAGGCAGGTCCTGGGGATCCCCCACTGGACTTCCCTGCCTGCAACATATCAAACCTATTAAAACACACTCACATTCTGCTCTGTGAATTATGTGACAATTGG